AGGTTTTTAGTTGAGATAGGCAAAAAGGAGGGAAAATTCAAAAGGTGGGGTTGAGATGGGAAGTTAGTGTCCTAGTGGATCGAAGTCACGATAGCTCAAGTGGTAGAATAGCGGCGTATCTAGCCGAAGGTTGTGGGTTCGGATCCCGCTCGTGACACTGACTTTTTTTTATCTCAACTAAAAACCTTAATTAATTGAATTTTAAACTATGATCAATTCTTTCATTTTAACATTTCTTATCAGAATAAATAGAGTGTATTTCTAATTAAAACAACTTTTTCTGTTAATACCTATCGATGTAGAAAATTCACGATTTACCATTTTAAAAATGAACATTTATTATAATGAACTGTTATATAAGTTCTATGTCATATAAGTTAATTATTATCTGGATAGTAGAGCTGGAAGGTCTTATTGTTTACCCAATCTGGAAAGTTTTCGTCCAATGTGGGCCATTCACAGGAATATGGCCGACAGAAGAAGTAAAGCAAGGACTGTAGAGTGGTGAGGTGGAAGTTGGATTTCCTTCATTTCTGAAAGCTCTTGTTTTGTAAATCGGGCCTTACGGGCCAGAAGATCTCTTGTTGAAGGAAAATTCGCTTTTCACACAATAAAATCTACGCTCCCTTTGGAAATAAAAAAGATACCCAGTAACGTTACCTATAAAGCCTACTTTTGTAATGGGTAACCAGTCAAAAATAAATTTATCTTTGAAATTTTATTCTGTTTTAGTTGTTTGGTTAGTATGTTTTATGTATATTAACATATTTGTTATACATATTGCTTAAGGGAATATAGGGAATAAACAGGGTGAGCCAGTTGTGAAAGCATCGTAGAGAAAAAGCATTAGTTGCGTTCAAATTTGATTCACATGTGTTTTTCCAGTGTAAAATAGATCTTTTTTTTTAAATAAAAACTCCACTATGTTTTTTTCTGCTAGTAGTTGGAATTAATTGTATAAATTTGAGTGGCCTTACTTTTAAATGCATTTATAAAAAAAAAAGTAAAAAAATAAAAACAGGGTGATAAATAATATTCTCGTGGATAATCCATTTCTAAATAAAACCAGTTTTTAAAACTAACAGAAATAAACCTTTAAAATATTGATACATAGAATAAAACAATTAAAAATTATAACAAATATGGAATTATTTTTAAACATTAATTAATTATTTCGTGTTTAAAAAAGTCATTACGCAATAATGAATCTAATGAAGGGAATTTAATGTAACATTCATGAGAATACAATTAATACTCAAATTTACAACTGAATTACATTATTGACATTAATTTTTAATAAGAATCTGTTGATGTTAAAATTTAATTAATCTTTTTTTTAAATAAATTAATTTATAAAAGGTAGGCATAATTGTAAACATCAATAGTGCTTTTACCAAAAGAAAAAAACAAACACCAATGTATTTTTTTTTTCTATGATCCGTCAAAATCTGACCAACCTCTATTTTTACGTAGAGGAAGCACACATTTTGAACTCAACTAACGCTTTTACCCTGGGGTGCATCAAAAAATTACTTAAGCTCTTTAAGTAAGTTCTAAAACTGACAAAATTTGTATAGTTAAGTTTGAAATATGATCTCTCTCTCTCTATCTCTCTCTCTCTCTCTCTCTCTCTCTCTCTCTCTCTCTCTCTCTCTCTCTCTCAAAAGAGGTCAAAATGATCGTATTTCTAAGAACTAGGAGTAGTAATGAGGTTGACGGTATTTCTTGTTCAAACAATTTAACGGCGCTCTCATTAGGCTAAACCATCATGAACGGCAGCTCTTGCAAAACTATAGTTCTGTTCGCCGTGAGGTGATTATATACCACTATATTACTATCACTCTCACTTTCAAATTCTTACACATATATACACCCTCTCTTTCTTTCTATTTTTCTGCTTCTTTCTTTCTAGTCTCGTCTCTCTCCTTCGCCTCTCCTTTTCTCTCTTCTCTCTATTTCCCTCTCTAATTCTCTTTTTCTGAAACATATTATCATATTATAAATACATACTATTCATGAAAATGTAACAATTTTTAATGTAACCAAAATCGTATATTTCCGGAGAACTATGCATAAACGAGGAAAAATGGGTAAGTCAAATTTTAGACAAATGATATGTGTATATTCCAGTCTTTAAGGTCTTAAGACTGTATAATAATTAAATCGTGAATGAAACCATTTCCATTTTTCCTCAATGTAACGTTTTAGACATACTGAAAAGTTAAGTCAACATTTCAAAAATCCGTGTTGTCTATTTTTAAACCTGAATATCTCATATATTCAAATAGAATACGTTTATTCTAAAGAATTTTTGTCTAGGTACAGAAATGGTATTTTGTTTGTTACCTACTTGTTTGTTTGTTAAAAGGTGAATTAGGGCAGATATCTCACCTGTAAAATTTGGGGATTGTTTATACAACTTGACTTATTTCAGTTTTGTTAGACAAATCAAAAATATACGTGAAAACTGCAAAAGTGGTAGTCCGATTATCGGTATGTGCCATAAATTTCTGTCAAAAAGTAGATACGTGTTGGTGCATAATAACCAAAAAGTCAGCACAATAAAATAAAATTTACTACAAAAATTGAATTTGTACAATGGTCTAAACTTTAATATCACAATCCTAAAATATAGAAATAATAATGGTGGAGTAAGTGCGGTATCCAATTTTTTTTTTAAGATAATTCCTACTCACAGTAAAGTAGTTACAGTGAGTAGGAACTATCTTTTTCAAACGGATCCTAAAATGTGATTTTCGGCTTATTCAATTTTGCCCAGATGAAATCATCCTTAAAAATTTAAATGGTGAAATAGAATGATAATTAAAAACATATTGCAACACAAAATATTTGAATACATGCGTAAAAGATAATTTAAATTGATTAAACATAATTGTTTTTTGTAGATTATTTTCCATCTTTTCAATTACTATTTATAATAGAATAGTAAAGAACTTATTAGTTCCACTCCTGATGAGCTGATACTCCCCTGAGCAGATCTAAACTAATTGAACACGGATGAACCAGGAGAATCGCCTCGGAAATCAATCCTCGTGTTCATTAGGCATTCTCACTATTAAGGAGACCTAACTCCATCGAACTTGCCTAAATTAATGTACGGAAATCGATCCAGATACAACTATTGTTTAAGTTGTAAAGTTTGTTGGCTACCTATGTTGAATATGTTATTATAAAAAGTTACACCCTAGAGAGGTCTTTTAGATTTTATAATGAATTAAAATTGTTCTTTATATTATTAAAATTTTCATTGAAAGTTATAGTTTTATAAATTGTCACAGCTGTTGGATTTCTGGTCCTTCTATCTTCGCTTGGCTGGGCCAATTGTTCGCAATTATGTACAGCTTTAGTGCAAGTCTGTAATGTGAAGTGTTTTAACACTTAAAGAAGGCAAATGGGTGAAGTAATAACTAACGTCTACAGAATTGCTTTGGCCGTTTTAAGCCAGTTTACAAGGACCTCTTTCAAATTTTATTGCTGCGTCTTTCTTAGGGTAATTCACTGCATCCTTGTAAGAGGGAATACGGGGCAGTTAAGAGACAATGGCTACCGTGATGAATGTGAAAATATAGAAGAAAGACGATTTATAAAATTACCCGATTGGGAGATTTCTTTTTTGTCAAACCGATTCAGCTCTTGAATAAATAGATACTTTTATTTGAGTAGTTATAAATTCATTCCCATTTGGATTATCCGTATCGATTAACTTCAAATGGACAAAAATATAAATTATATTATACTCCCTTCGATTAATTAATTTAAATTTGTAATTTTCTGATTGTTCAGTTATGTTCGAGTTTGTGGGCGGAAGAGGAAAGGAGAAAATGTAATACAAAATTTCAATTTTTTAATTTCATTATTACCTACTAATTGCTTTCTGATTAATTAAATTTATGACATCCTTGTGAAATCCCCAAAGCACACTATTTATATCACATTGTATAACGAGCATATTTCGTACAATTACACAATTCAAGGAGTTACGGCCTACACCGAACATTAGAAGGATTTAACTTTACACGCTTTGCGTGTGTTATCTGACCTAATATAACATTTATATAAAGAGAACATGAAAGTATCCAACTTATTTCAGTACAAACGTGTTCTTCGAAATTAATCTAATTTAAACATTTATGTTAAATAAACCTTTCCTCGACATACAGAAGAAACAAATGTATCTGAGTCAAGTTAGTAGAATAAATAGTGAAAAGAGAATTACAAAATTAATTAGCAATCAAATTAGCCGTGCTCTTTCAACGATGTGTAATTAGGTTTTTGAAGCGCCTCTTCGCAACAAACAAAAAGAACAGTATCTCATTGTATATTTATTAATTATAATGTTTTGATAATTTTTTGTAAATCCCTTCACTCTTGAATTGCAAATGTGACTTTGTGACTAAGCCGGACAAAAGGGTTTGTATGTAAAGCAAGACTATTCAAACACTCTCACTCTTCATTAATAACCTCTGACAGGTTTCTTTTAATATTTCTTTCTCGGTCCAATTCGCAGTTTATGCTTCCGTACATAAATCATGTTTTTGGGCTCGAAGAATTCAACCTTGCTCCAAGAATTATAAGTTTTGAATGTGAAACAAAGAAAATCCAAATGTTTTAAGTATGTTTGCACTTTAGTTTCGATATAATTTTATTTTTAGTTATTTTTCATGATTTAGAGGACTTTTGGTGAAAATTTTAAAATTGTCAAATCGCAGCAAAACATAATTAAATTGTACTTATACACACAAACAGTGTTGTACATCATTTAATATTTTGTCTCAATCAAAAAACCACTGTGAATTTTTTCCCAAGTTACTTGCCAGTTTCGCCCAACATTAAACTCAAATTGTTTGTAATCTTATTTTTTTTTGAGCTAACATCAAAATGATAAGCAACAAAGTGGAAAAACTTTCCTCTCTCTTTTTCTTATCATCATATCATAATTACTGAACTAAGTGAAAAATTAACTTTTAATTACATTTCAGAAGAAGTTGTTTTCGGAGACGCTCTCACATTAACAAACATTGAAAGAAGCCACGTCGGGGCCTACCTCTGCATTGCGAGCAACGACGTACCTCCCGCAGTGAGCAAGAGGATTGCACTTAGCGTTAATTGTAAGAAAACTATCATTAAAATTATGTAGTTAATTTTCACTTTTACTTTTTGCCTTCAATATTGAATTAAGCTTATATTCTTAATTGTAATCTTTTGAAATATTGTTTCAGACCCTCCAGAAGTTAGGGTGTCCCACGAGGTGGTCGGGGCACCGGTTGGTAGCGACATCAGGATATTTTGCTACGTTAAAGGCTACCCGGCTACAGTTAATTCGTGGGTTTTCAGCAATCACACGCTGCCCCACAGGTAAAAGTCAAAATACCCTTTTCTACCGCCTTGTATAAATTTTATTTAATGAACAATAGTTCAAGTCGTTAAAAAAAATGAATCTGGTTATGTAAGTTTTTCGTTAAGATCCTCAATCTAATTCTCTTTGGAAACATGGATTAAATTCAATGAGCTTAAACATAAAAAAAGTTGCAAAAAACGAAAAGACGCTCCAATAACAAAAAAATTCATATTCGTTTCCAATCCCCTTTAGTTAATGAAAGATTAATTCATTTATTATATATATTATATATTTATATATTCATTCATAGCCAATGTTGTTTTTTCTGATCTGTGTTTCACTTAATAATGCATATCTCCTCTGAATATTATCCAATCTCTAAAAACTAGTAATAATAGTAATGAGGTTGACATTCAGGTTAAAACAAACACAATTTCAAGGCGCTACCATTATGCTAAACCATCATGAACAGCAGCTCTTGCAAAACTGTAGATCTGTTTGCCGTGATGTGATTAATACCTACCACTATATTACTATCACTCTCTCTTCTTCTTCACTTCTATTTTACTGTTTCTCTCTTTCTTTCTCGTCTCTCTCCTTCGCTCCTCCTTATCTCTCTACTCTCTAATTCTCTTTTTCTGAAATATATTCTCATATTATAAATTCATAGTGTTCATATATAAAATGTGAATATGAGAAATTTTAATGTAGGCGAAATCGTATATTGCCTATTATGTCTGCAAGATCGGAGCGAGCCCAACTAAGTCAAATTTTTGCAAAATGATATGTGTATATTCCAGGCTTTAAGGTCTTACAGACTGTAATTTATTAAGTCGAGAATGAATCCATTTCCATTTATACACAATGTAACTTTTTAGACTCTTGAAAATTTACGTCAACATTTCAAAAATTCGTTTTGTCTATATTTAAACTTGAATAATTCATATATTAAAATAGAATAAGTTTATTATAATGAATATTTATCTAGGTGCAGAATTGGTATTTTGTTTTTTTTACCTTCTTGTTTGTTTGTTAAAAAGTGAATTAAGGCAGTTATCTCACCTGTAAAATTTAGGGGTTGTTTATACAACTTACCTTTTTCCATTTTGGCCAGTTGGCCAGGCAAATCTCTCTCTCTCTCTCTCTCTCTCTCTCTCTCTCTCTCTCTCTCTCTCTTTCNCTCTCTCTCTCTCCCTCTCCCTCTCCCTCTCTCTCTCTTTCTTCCCTCAAAAGTGGTCAAAATTAGCGTACCTCTAAGCACTAGTAATAATAGTGATGAGGATGACAGTCATGTTAAAACACACAATTTCACGGCGTTCTCATTATGCTAAATTATCATGAACGGCAACTCTTGCAAAACTATAGAACTTTTCGCCGTTATTAGTACTATATTGTGTCACTCTCTTCTTCATATTCACACACACAAGTACACACCGTCTCCTTCTTTCTACTTCTCTCTCGCTCACTCTATCTCTCTCATCTATCTCTCTCTCTTTCTTTTTCTGTCTCTCCCTCCTCTTATAAGTGTTCAAAATTAGCGGATTAATTACATAAGAAATACATTTGGCTTTATACATAAATAAACTGGTGTTTGGGTTTGAACCAATACATTTCAAAAATTATACATGTCTATTTTTTAACTTGAATTACGGATATGATAAAATAGGAAAGGACTATTCTAATGAATATTTGTCTAGGTTCATAATTAGTACTTTTTTTTATCTATTTGTGTTAGAATTTGTTTCGTTGGTAACAAGTGAATTAGTGCAGTTATCTGACCTGTAGATATTAGGGATTGCTTATACAACTTTATCTCTCTCTCTCTCTCTCTCTTTCTCTCTCTCTCTCTCTCTCTCTCTCTCTCTCTCTCTCTTTCCTCTCAAAAGTGCTCAAAATTAGCGGATCTCAAAGAACTGGTAATAATAGTTATGAGTTTGACAGTATTTCTTAATTCATGTTGAAACAAACACAATTTCACGGCGCTACCATTAGGCTAAACCATCATGAAAGGCAACTCTTGCAAAACTATAGATCTGTTCGCCGTGATATGATTATATACCATTATATTACTAACACGCTCTCTCCGATATTCACACACACCATACACAACCTCTCCTTCTTTCTATTTTTCTGCTTCTCTCTTTCTTGCTCATTTCTCTCCTTCGCCCCTCCTTCTCACACTCTCTCTCTCTTTCTATCTCTCTCTTTCTCTCTCTCTCTCTCTCTCTCTCTCTCTCTCTCTTTCTCTCTTTCTCTCTTTCTCTCTCTACTCTCAATAGTGGTCAAAATTATCGTACTTCTAAGAACTGGGAGTAGTAATGAGGTTGACTGTATTTCTTATAATTCATGTTCAAACAATTTAACGGAGCTCTCATTATGCTATACCATCATGAACGGCAGCTCTTGCAAAACTGTAGAACTTTTCACCGTTGTTAGTACTATATTAGAGTCACTATCTCCTTTGTATTGGCAGACATATACACACCCTCTCCTTCTTTCTATATTTCTACTTCTTTCTTTCTCATCTCTCTCCTCTGCACCCCCTTTTCTCTCTCCTTTGTATTTCCCTTTCTAATTCTATTTTTCTGAAACATATTATTATATTATAAATACATAGTATGTACGTCAACAATATTTAGATTTTACGTCATTATAAGTGAGAAAAATATGGATTAAATTAGCAAAACCCATCAGACGTGTTATTTTACGTCTCCGAATCAGATTAATTTACTGAGACCAGGTTTGTACCATTTCGTGTAGCTTATAGTTTTCTAAGGGCGTGTGAAGTTTACACTGGTCGGTGGTGTCTTTGCAAAATTATCCATTTTTGTGATTTACGAAAAAAGAGGCGATTTGGAACTAATTAGAGACTTAGATTAACCCGCCTGAGCCCTAACTCTACCTAACCTAACTTGTCCATAATTCTATATTTTTTCTGATTGAAAAATTAACCTTTTCCGGCTTAGGTAGTGTCCACTTCTTTTGGGGGTGGTCTCCCACAACATACTTCGCCCCGCACCCCAGCTACAATAAAGTTATTGTTGGTTGATATGCTCAACGGCCGGAATCGACGGGCGCTTCGCTTTCTGTCCATATGTCCGAAGACTATAGATAGGGAGGACCTCAAAGCGATTAGGAAAAATTCTCGGCAGTTGTTTAATCTAACCTGTCAATACCTCTAATCTTAACCCTAAGCCTGTCTGATATAACCCGTGCCTAGCCCTACCTAATTTAACATATCACTAACCATAAGCTTTCCTAACCTAACCTGTCCCTAACTCTAACCCTATCCGTAACCTGGTTGAGTCATTTCAACTTACAGGCATTTTTGTGATTTTCGAAAAAACGGTGGATTTGAAGGGCGAAAAATATGAGAAAACAATGTTTTTGATTTTCCCAAAGGTTCCTCTTCAGGGTTTGTTTGGAGTGCAAAAATCAGGTATAACTTTGTTTCTTGCGAGAAAAAATAGTGTAATTTACTCTGCTACCTCTCACGGTCATTATGTTAAAATTCTATTTGCTAGCTAGGCATAGTAGAAGAACCGCAAATATTGAAATACATCATTAATGACCATAATCATTGGCAAGAACGCTCTGACACGTGTTTTGTGTAGGTGAAAAATGTCTTTAAATATTAAATTGAGGTGTTTACTGAACAATGTCTATTCCTCGAAGACAGCCATTGTAATCTTTCAAAAGAACTTTTTCCCCTCAGTTTTAATGAGTTTAGGGTTTGAAAAATTATAATGATAATTCCCTATTAATTGGTTTGGCCTAGCAAATAGAAAAACCTTGAACTAGCCTTGAAGAAGGTAATCCGAAGGTGCAAGGTCGGGGCAGTATGCTAAGGAAATGAAAAGTTTACAAATTGTAATCATACCATATGAAGTTCTAAATGTATCGTCTGTACAATTTAAATTGCCCAAATTTAAATTAGTCCACTCTTGAATACACTTACTAGACAAAACAAATATTAGTTAGGAGGGCTTAAATAAAAACCTCTATTAAAGGCGTATTTATTTTAGTTTAACTTATATATTTATAAAAAATTTAAAAAATTCTCAGGCCTTTTTAACATATTTTAAGGAGGGTTTACATAATGTAGTTATATAATAGTGTTTACATGTCAAATAATAAAAAATGTTACATTTTATCTATTATTTTGTTTTTTGCAAAATATGAGCCATGTACTGGAGTTGGGCTTATCTGCCGTATGAGGGAGGAGTTCCGAGTTCATCAATATTTGTCCTCGCCTGATGTAAAATTCGTGCCTTTGTGTTGTGATGAAGTGGAAAAGTATTTTTGCGATTTATCAAAACATTTTTCCACCAAATCAAGTTAAGTTGAACGGAGTGGAACATTTTTATTTAAACCTTCAATCGACTAACACCGTCCAAAATTTAATTAATTTAAAAAAACGTGGGTAGACCAAAAGTTTAATTTTAATATGTATAATAAGTTTACAATTCGGAAATATGTATTATAAAATATGAAAGACCTTCCTCATGGTTTAAAACCGTCTGACGGTTAAATCTAATTAAAAATTTTTATATTTAAGTATAATTCATTTTTTATAATAAAAATACTATAAGCTTAAAATTTTTCTAGCATCTAGTATTTTAAAATAGAACCTTCATATCAAATGTCAAGCTTGATTTGACATAATATAATAACTTGGTTGTTGTTGTTATGTATGCCAACGTTTGTGACGTCCAAAAAACAGTTTACAAATGATCTACCTCTCCAATTTTTTTTCTGCAAAAACGCCATGTAGGAGGATAAGAAAAGTGAAAACAGATACAAGGTTTTACCGAGTCGATAACTTTCTTGATATACGAGAAGAATGACGAGGTAAGCGATCGGCCATATATTCCGCGGATAATGGGCAGTTAGACAGGATTGTGGCTGTTTGCCAGAAGTTCGCGCTTTTCATTATAGTCCTCCTCCTGCCCACTACATAAAATAGGATTGCAACTAGATCACTTCCTCTATTACTCTGAACCCATTTCACCTCTAC